AACTTCCATTATTTGTTTACAAATGCACTGTACGGTACATTATAATTTCATTTTGGGTGAAATTCACATTTATTCATTTATGCCACACCATATTTTGTGTTGTGAAATTCGAAGCTTATCCACCACTGGAAAAAAGGCTCTGGTGGCTCGGTCAGGCTAAACTTTGTACAGAACTGAATAATGATAGATAATTTATCATTATTTAAAACTTAGGTTAGTGGATTAATAATTATTATTATTATTATTATTATTGAATATCTTCTGTAACTTATACAGTATTAATTGCTCATTTCCAAATTTATGCTATTCTCATCAGTTTGAATAGAGATATTCACAGAGAAGTGAAAGTCCTAAACTAGTATTATTAGATGTAAAAAAAAAATTAGTGAAAAGTCCTTCAGTTGAGTTCTCAGGAGGTCACACACTGGCATTGTTAGAGGCCAATCTGTAATTAGTGATTTTTTAAGTTAGGTATTGAATTATTTATCTGCCAGTCAGTACAGATTGAATCTTGGCTTGCAGGAGACATTTTGAAATTGTGAGCCTTTTATTGCCCTTGAGGTGAAATTAAGAAAAGTAAATGGTATTTAAACCAATTTTAAAATGAAAGGTAGGTTTTATCATGATAATTTCATGCTTGGTTACATGTAGCAGGTACAAATTCTCAATTTCTTCGTCATTTTGGAAGATAGATACTCGAGTCACAACTAAGACCTCATCTGCTGGTATCCCTTGTTCATTGAAAATCTTTAATTGAAATTTTACTAATTTGTTGAAAAAAGAATGTAAACTTTCAAAGCGAAGCAACTGAAAACACTGCTACTATTGTTGTAAGCTAATATGGAACAGTTGCCAAGTCAGCAATAGTTTAAAATGAAGCACCTAAACATGTGTGCTGTCAATTTGTTTAAGGCCCTTTTTTCCCTTCAACTCTAGTAATTGCATTATAACAGCATTTTCTGGATCTCTTTACTGGAAAATACTTTTGAAGAGAGGTTTCTGATACTTGATGTAGGCAGAAGGCAAGTCTGGAGAATAATCTGTGTCATTGAAGAAAGGCAGATACGTGTTGATGTGGTCATAGTTGAAAATGATATTGGGTACTGCAGCTTCACAATTAGGCAAGGTGGTACATTTTAAGTACTTTAGAATCCAAATTGAAGCTCTACACTTAATTTGCCATTAATATAAATGAAAGAGAGCTATATCATGGTACAGAATTACATGTAAGGTTACTTTTCTATGTAGCCAGCCTTTGGGTTCCTTGGAAGATTTCACAATAGAGACTTCACCAGCAAGTTTTAGCTGCACAACCTTTGTGTATTTTATTATTTTAATGACAGCAAGCCAACAGATAGTTACTCATTGATGACTAGTGTTGGATGGTTGGGATCAGTCTTTTTGAGCAGTATGCTTTTGTTGAATCAAAGAACAATCTAACGCTAAAAAGAACTCATCTGGTAATTTAGCCACTAAACACCACTGATAAATGGCCATCGATTCATCTGTAGAGATGCAAAAACATTTAATTGTACTCTGGAGCCCAGTGGCAGCCCACAGCACAAGCTTATCACAGCTGGGAGTATTACTTCTCCCATCCATTCGGTTTCCCAAGTGGTTTGTCCACACCCATTTTACTTCCCCAGAGACGCTATGCAACTCCCCAGCTAAAGCTTTAACAGGGAATTCTTGGCCAAGAGCAAAGGCCACTCCTCACTATGCTTTCACACAAGAAATAGCTAGCTTAAATTAAACCTTTACTGTTGTGAGGATGTGGAAGTCAGTTTTTGCACAGTGGCTGTACTGATGAAATCTAGAAAGGATGTATGTTAGTTTTTAATCCATCTGGCTTACTTTGGAACCTTTTTTTTTTAACTTGAATGATTATTGTTATTAATTTAAAGATTGCAATACCTATACAATACCATAAGATTACTAGCTCATATTAAAAATTAAGATTTGTTTATTTTTTGGAACCAACTAAAGCTTCTGTACTGCAAGGAAAAAAAAGAGGTCTTTGTGGGTTTGTGCTTTCTTTTGCAATTGAAGAGTGGTGAAAAAGAGCCTCATCTGACTTGTGTCATCCATAACTCTCCTTGTTTTATAAGCATACACAACTGAGGAAATTGAGACTGACTCCACCTGTTGATTGGACCACTTACAGATATATTTTTCTCCCTAATTATATCTTTGTCTCTGCTACTGTAGTGGAGGCATTTGTCTCAACATGGAACTTGATATAATGGACAACCCATGACTGACCCTTGGCATACTTGCAGTCAGATGTTTTACCTCTTCAAAAATTTTTAGTCAAGTATCTTTTTTTTTTTTTCAATCCTTTCTGACTTCAATATTTCATAGGGGTGTGCATGAACCATTTTTCTCATGACAAGAAGTTTTGCAAAGTTTTAACTTCAACTTTTATTCAGTTTTTTGCCTGTGTCATTATTTCAAACTGACTTTTTTTTTTATCAGAAGCCCAACATTGACTGCATGTGTTTAGAAGTCATTTTGGTAATCAGTTGTTCATAGTCTTTTGATTTATTACTGTACTACTTCTATTTTGCTCATCACTTGGAGTTCATCATGTAGTCTGACTACCCAGGCCTCTGAAATGGTTGCTGGTGACTTTCACAGAGTTTACTGGTAGTAGACTGAGTAGAAATCCATCATCAGGGAAAGTCTGAGTAGGATTTCTGCTTCACCCTATTCTCCCTGTAGTCTGCAATACAATTCTTCTGTTTGGAGATTTTGATATTGGATCAACTAATAATCCCCTAATTGATATTTTCTTAATTCTCATCACTTGTTGGTGTGAAGTTGTATTGATATTGTAAGGAGAAGTTGTGTCCTGGGGTCAGATAACATTACCCTCCTTTAGACAATCAGACAGCATGATGAACTCACTCTTGGGTTCTAACAATTTACCGTTAATATTTTGAGTCAATTATTAGTTTAGTTAACCCTTTCACTCTCAAGATCTCATTAGTAATTCTCCTTACTGTCTGCCAAGCGATTCTCATTATGTTAGTTTAAAGAATTTGGTATTGGATCAATTAGTAATCCCCCAATTGATATTTTTCTTTATTCTCATCACTCATCTGCTTGATATTGTATGGATTTAGTAAGGAGAAATTTTGTCTTGGTCACTCACAGGAGTTAAGGGTTAACTTTTGTCTCATATTGGTTCGTTGTGTTTATCAGCATCCATGGATTCACTTTGTAACAAGAGAACACTGATTTGAAGACCTGCTGGTACACTTATCACATGTTACATGTCTCTTTCCTGAACACTGTGACTTGCTTGTATAATTCCCCTTATCATATTGTGGGTACATTTAACATCACAGCTTGTATCGCTCCACTTAATAAACTGCTGATACATCCATTGTCTGTCTCAGTTCGTTCTTGACATCTTCATCTCTGCATTCATTGAATTCAATATTTAACTGGGTCAGTTTCGTCTCTTAAGGTATAACTCACATGTTAATCACCAAATCCTTTTAACCGTTGCCAAGTTAAGACCAAGTTCATTTCTTAGTGTTTGACTGAGAGCTCTTTTCTTTGCCTTTATCTTCAACACGGTTAGAGTCATTACTTCTCTTGTTTGTCATTGTCTTAGCATCATGACAATTAATGTTCCTAATGGTTTACTCTTTCCTCTTCAAAAGGTTTTTTAAATGTACAGTACATGGTCTTTTGGGTGTTTCAAATATGTGTTTACATGAATTGAATTTCCTTGCAAGGTAGGTTTTTCTGATATTTTGAATGGTCTTTTTGAATTGAATAAAGAGGATGTACAAATCATGTAGTTCACTTTTCTTCGCAATCTCCTAAAAAAGAGAATCCAGTTTGAATTCAGAGAAACTTTTCCAATTGCCAAATGGTAGTTATACACCTTTGGCACTGTTACAAAACACCTAAGAACCCTTCAACCTCTAACTGTGATTGGCATCTAATTTCTCACATCATCACCCTTGAATCACACATTGAGGTTGTGAGAATAAGTGAAATGATCACCAACTAAAGAAGCTCTTGATTGTTTAATAAGGTCTCAATGTCAGCACCATGGGAAGTGTATAGAAAACAGTGTGGACAGTATGCATACTGATGTTGGCAAGTAAAGGGTGATAAGTACTGAGTAAATTTTACCAATGTCTTCAAGGCTACAGAGTTTGGAAATTGGACTACACTAATTTGTAAACAATTTGTTCTTTCTTTGCTTCTCATCCATGTACCTCCTCCTCCTCTTTCTTTAAACTAAAACTCAAATAACCATGGGCCTCTTAAATGGTTGGGGTAATTGCCATTCTGTCATACTCTCGTAGTAAATGTAGCCCTTGTGGCTTCAACACGATTGAAGACTAAGGAATTTTTGAATAAAAGCGCAGCTTACAGAGTTAATTTCCATGGGTATACAAAACCATTAATCACACAGCCATCATAACAAGAGGTCCAAGAAGTTGATCTTAACTAGAATTAGGAAACTAGTAGAGTAAGGACGAAATTTTTCTTCCTTTTACCTTCCTTTTTCTTAGCCCTTTGCATGCTAATATTAGTATACATATCCACCATACTATTCTTTAAATATCCCAAGTCGCAGACAAGGGGACTTGATTTAAAAATGAAGAGTTTAAACTGGTAATCACTTCCTTTTCTTGTGTGTTCATAATAATCGGGGTAATAATATGATAAGACATAAGAAGCTAGTCACTCTTAAGGGTCAGAAGGTTGGAAATTCCAGAGAGAATATATTTATGGCTCTGTCTCATCCATGGTCACTTTGAGTTTATCTTGAAGCTCTTAACACCCTAACAACAATATGCACTTTCTCTGTATGGTTCTTTGCACCAGATGAGGAGAAATTGCTGAAAAATCAAGAGCTTTTGATAGTGATTATTTCCTTCACTTTGGTTGACCTTAATATTTGATGCAGAGGTGATTTTGAGAGGAAAAACAAGACAAGAGTCACTTTAAGGACAACATCAGACACAAGATTGTTAGTTTGAATGAACTTGCTTTTTATTATGCATATCCCACTCTAAAGTTACAATGTTAGGTAGGTAAAACTTTAGCAGGCAAAGTAAACTGCAGCAGTGGTGCCAACTGCCTGTTTTCCGCAAGGTCTAATGAAGATCATTTCACTGACTAAGCAAACAGTTAATAATGAACAACCAGATACTGTTTAAATGCGTTATCTCTATCACTCAGCAGACATGGCTAACAGTGACCAAGTAATCAGAACCTGTCCTCTCTTTAACTAGATCTTAACTTCCAGAGTCAGCTATCTCATGTCTGAAAATCTAACTGGAGTGCTCCGTTGTTTTTGAAATCTCAACAGCCTTGTTAAGCAGGTTATAATACTGAACGACTATTAACCACAAAACAAAACAAACTCACAATGAAACAGTACAAACAAAACTAATGAACAAAATTATTATCTTAGCAAACTTCTACAATGTCAAAGTGGATAATATTTTGCACCCAAACTCTCATGCAAATTTTAAATTATCTAATGGCCAACAAATTAGATGAAGCCTTCATTCTAAAACCTGACCAGTAATCTTGTAAGAAATCATTTCACTCTTGTTTAAACAGCAATATTTCTGCTATGATAACAATGTAACTTTTGAAAGACAGATAGCAACTCTTGTCAAGAATTTCCAGAACAGAAGAGATCAATCAACTTCTTCCATCTTTGAAGGATCATCACCATCCTCTCCCTCAAGAGGGGGCATATCTTCACCAGTTCCCTCAGCTGCCACTTCTTCACCCGCTGTGGAATGAATAAACAATTCTGATTAGTTCTGGGCCTCTACTAGCCCTTATGGAAACCCCTGGCTGGGCCTAAGAAAAACATCCAAAACTCTCACAAAACATTATCTCTGCGTACCATCCATTTCTTCATCAATTCCAAGACCCAAACTAATCATCCTGTAAATGCGGCCAGCATGAACCTGAGGGTCATCCAGCGTGAAGCCAGAGGACAGAAGAGAGGTCTCATACAGCAGCATGACAAGATCTTTCACAGACTTGTCATTTTTGTCTGTCTCCACCTTCTGCCTGAGGGTCTCAACAATGGAGTGGTCGGGATTCAACTCCAAGTGTTTCTTGGCTGCCATGTATCCTAGAGTGCTGTTATCACGCAAAGCCTGAGCCTTCATGATTCTCTCCATGTTGGCAGTCCAGCCGAACTGACTTGTCACAATACAGCAGGGAGATGACACCAGACGTGCAGACACTACCACTTTCTCCACTTTTTTGTCCAAGATCTCCTTCACAGTCTGAAAAAAGACACAATATTTAACATCCCAAGAATGACATTGGATGTAGTTCCCCATAAATTTGGCATTTGATTTAGTATTAGAAAATTACCAAAAAGAGACCAATACAACTCAGAAAAACAATTCATCCCTTGCATTCTCATTGGGTATATCACAGGCCAGACAATTTCAAGTCTGTCTTTGCTGGGTCACTGAAACTTAACACATGTCTCTTCAAGATAACATTTTTTTTAATGATTAACTGAAATTATTTTCAGTAAGTGAAACCAACAAGGCCCTCAACTCAATGCCACATCAGAAATGCTACGATTTTTAAAAGCACCTCACTATATCACCATACAAATAGTATAGGATATTGAGAATTCCTCCAACAGTTTTAAAATCAAGTTTGATGTGAAACCTGGGAAACAGTTAATGCCAGAAAAAATTTAAGAAACATTATTTTAACAGGGACAAAAAGTTCCTATTTTTTTTCTCAATTTCTCTCAGGTAGGTCACAAAGCACAGTTGAAAACACCAACCACTTTTCTTAAAAACAATTTTCGCAAACACTCTTGTTTCAATTCACAAAAAGTTTATCACTAAACAGTACCTTGCAAAGAGGCTCAAATTTGGCTTTCTTCTCTTCCCATTTCTTCTTGTCATCCTCATCCTCTGGTAACTCAAGGCCTTCCTTGGTGACACTGACTAGTTTCTTTCCATCGTATTCCTTCAGCTGCTGCACGGCGTACTCATCAATTGGTTCTGTCATGTACAACACCTCGAATCCACGGCTCTTGACCCTCTCCACAAAAGCCGAGTGGGCAACTTGATCCTTGCTCTCACCAGTTATGTAGTAGATGTCTTTCTGATTGTCCTTCATTCTTGTGACGTAATCCTTGAGCGATGTCATCTCATCTCCAGCAGCAGAAGAGTGATACCTAAGAAGGTCTGCAAGTTTGGAACGGTTAACGCTGTCTTCATGGATGCCAAGCTTAATGTTCTTGCCAAACTGCTCGTAGAATTTCTTGTAGTTGTCCTTGTCTTCCGTCACTTCAGCAAACAGCTCCAAACACTTCTTGACGATGTTTTTCCTGATCACCTTCAAGATCTTGTTCTGCTGCAGCATCTCACGAGAAATGTTAAGTGGCAAATCTTCAGAATCCACGACACCCTTAATGAAGTTCAAATACTCTGGGATAAGATCCTCACAATTGTCCATAATAAATACACGACGCACGTAAAGCTTGATGTTGTTGCGCTTTTTCCTGTTCTCAAATAAATCGAAAGGTGCCCGCCTCGGAAGAAACAGAAGGGCCCTGAATTCCAATTGTCCCTCAACTGAAAAATGCTTGACCGCCATATGCTCTTCCCAGTCATTTGTCAAACTTTTGTAGAACTCTGCGTATTCCTCTGGTGTAATTTCATCAGTGTTCCTCATCCACAATGGCTTGGTCTTGTTGAGTTCCTCAAGCTCAGTGTACTTCTCCTTGATCTTCTTCTTCTTCTTTTCCCCTTTTTTCTCTTCTTCTTCTTCATCCAAGTCTTCTACCTTGGGCTTATCATCTTCCTCATCTTCCTTCTTTTCACCATCTTCACTCTCTTTCTTTTCATCATCCTCCTCATCTTCATCATCACTGACCTCCTTCTCGCGCTCTTTTTGCACCTAGGGCAAATGAGATTGACAAGATGACTTTTAAAACCTTATCTTTTAATCCTACCTGTATTTGCCATTACTGCCAAAATTTCCTTTCATAAAACAACCAAGAGACCATTGCTTCCTCCTCATAGTTTCAAAATACAACCATCAAGTTCAAATTTAACATCCACACAAACTGGTAACTCAAAAGTCAAGCTCTTCAATTATTTATTTTTATTACAATGCAGATTGATTTCAAATTTGACTTGACAGCAGACACTTCATTTGCCAGTCAACTCTTACACCCTGGTTATCATCTGCAACCATATTCTCCACACTCTTTCCCTATATATTTTCTTTAGTACTGACAAGAAGAATCTAATTGACCATCAAAGCTTCCAAGGTTAGGAACCATTTCTTTCATTCTCACAATCTTAGTGAATGACTCAGCAGTATTACTGTAAAGAGAAATCTTGAAATTTATCTTGTTTTTTCACAGTTTTCCCAAGTTTCAGGCTCGCATGTTCGAGAAAAATATTACCTGCAGAGAAATGGGATATCCAATAAACTGACTGTGCTTCTTCACAATCTCCTTAATGCGCTTCTCTTCCAAGTACTCCATCTGGTCATCCTTGAGATGAAGAATCACTTTGGTTCCACGGGGTATCACTTCCTCTGACACACGGCGCACAGTGAAGGAACCACCGGCAGAAGATTCCCAGATGTATTGTTCATCATCATTGTGTTTGGTGTACACTTCTACCTTATCTGCGACCAGATAGGCAGAATAGAAACCAACACCAAACTGACCAATCATGGAAATGTCAGCACCAGCCTAATGGAGAAGAAAAAGATTATTACACAGGAGATTTAACTACGTTGTCATTGTCAAATTCAGAAAAAAACAAAGTATTCTCTGAAATTTAACCATGCTGTCACAAAACAAAACCCAAAATGTAACATGATCTCACAAATCTGCCAGCGACTACAACAAAACTGAACATATCAAATTTAGAAATAATCGAACAAATTATAGCGATCAAATTTTTGACAAAGAAACAAGTTTTTTAAATTTGATTTTCTAGGGGGGCGGCCATGTGTTTACCTGCAGAGCCTCCATGAAAGCTTTCGTTCCACTCTTAGCGATGGTTCCCAAGTTGTTGACGAGATCTGCCTTGGTCATACCGATTCCAGTATCGTGAATTGTCAGGGTGTTGTCATCTTTATTCGGAACAATCTCGATCTTCAACTCCTTACAGCTCTCCAAACTCGATGGTTCAGTTAAACTTTTGTATCGAATCTTGTCGAGGGCCTAGAACATAAGACACATAAGCATTTAGTTTATTTACCTCAACAATGACAAATAATTTTGAAAGACGAGGAGAAATGTTAAGTGAAGAACTTTTGCGGCTCGAAGAACTCGCCAGAAAACGACCACGTGATCTAAACGACGCCATGTGCTCAAAATGGTTTCGCTTTCGTTATACTCTAAGACAAAATGGAACTTTAAATCCATCGATTATTGAATGACACTGGATTTTAAATCGCTAGTTACAAATGAAAAGATTCTAGGAGAAGATTTATCACATAGACCGGTTAAGGAAAAAGTAAACTAGCCAAACGATTATTTGTTTCACTTCCTGTTACTTCCTCCCAGCAAATTTTTCATGTCCAAGAACTGATCGGCAAGACTCGATCGCTTCAGAAATCTGTATCATTTAGTCTTTGTACAGTTTCGTACGTGAGATTGGTTGCATAACATAAAAAAGGCAGCTGCCGAATTTTTCTTCAAATTTGTTGCTGACAAGGTAGGGCCCAAGAGTCCATATGCGCGGTACAAAATTTGATCCTAGATATTCGAGATTCGAAATAAGTCTGAGACAGTGCGATAGCAGCAGTGCTTAACAATGAGAGAAAATTAGTACAGGTCTACTCACATCAGAAGCGTTGGAGATGATTTCTCGAAGAAAAATTTCTTTGTTCGAGTAGAACGTATTGATGATCAAACTCATCAGCTGTGCGATCTCCGCTTGGAAAGCGAAGGTCTCCGTTTCATTGTCCTCTTCCATTTGCTGAACTTCTTCGATGTCAGGCATTTTGGCGGGTAAGTTCTAATTTAAAAGGTTTTTTCGGAGAGAAGATTGGCAAAACTTTAAGCCGCAACGACGCTTACAGAAAATGTGTCGAGAAACACGTGTGTACGCGTCAGTTTTTATAGCTGACCCATGGAACATTCTAGAACTTTCTAGAAAAACTACCAAAACGCGGCATCTGATTGGTTCGTTGAACAATATCCTGGAATCTGATTGGTTCATTTGCGCGCCACTTTCTAAATTCGGCAAATTACGAAATTCGTTGTCATGCTCAGTAAGCATTTCCGTTATTGTGACATTTTCTGGGAAGATCCAGAATATTCCAGAACCCTCTAGCGTTTTCTAGAACAGACGATTATTAAATATCAGCCGATCAGGTACTCTTGAAATCTTAAATGAAGAAACCACGATTTTCCTTTGAGCACAATGATTGATATACAACACGTAAATGCTATCGAATCTTGTTGTTTCGAGACGAGAAACCTGAAAGGGTTTCAGGATGTCGTTGAGAGAAAATTTTTGGGCATAAACGATGGTATCTTTCTAGAGTTTTCGGCTACCATGGGTAAATTATCGCTCGCTGAAGCCACATAGACACAACACGCTGATACGCCGACACAATTTTTGTAATTTAAGCTGATACGCCGACACAAATTTTGTAATTCAAGCGGACACGCTAAATGCACGTGGGTGTTTGACTTCAACCTTCACAATGGATGAGACGAGAGTTATGTCTGTGGAAGTCTCGTGAACCGTGTCAATTAATTGGTGTCTTAGGGAAGGGGAGGGAAGGCTTCTAATGAAGGAACCAGCGGGTATGCTGACAATGGGACATGCTCTCTTGTTGGATAGTCAAAACAAAGGTATAGCTATTGTTACACAATAATTTTGTCTGCAGAGCGTGGGGGAGTGGGTGGGGGGGGGGATGAGCAACAGCATAGTTACTTCTGGGATAATTTTGTCTGTAGAAAGTAGGGGAGAGGGTGGGGACGAGCAAGCGTATGTTTACTCTTAAAAAATTAAATTAAGAAATATTCTCACATAGCGTTGCACAAAATAAATAAAACTTTTTAACGAATAAAAGATAAAAATTAAGCTTTTAAGCCCAAGTGAAATAAGTACAATTAAGACACCCACAGGTCATCTATGAGGTGAATTGGAAGTCCTTGCCAAAGATAAATTTGTGATGTTTTCTTCTTGACAGTCTTATTCCAGTTTGACTAATGAGTAAATTTTGTATGCTTACCTTTACCTTTGTATGCTTAACTTTACTTCAACTCAGGTTGATGAGGCTGATCAGGCCCCCTAACAGTACATGCAAATGTGCCATGAAAAGTGTTAGAAAATATTGAAAAAAATTGACAAAATTCATCACACATCCAACAGATGAATTTCTTTCTGTCTACCCTGGAGAGTTGTCTACACTTATGTCTCTCCTCTGATCCTCAAAGCCTTTGTTGCAATAGCTGCACTTGTATGGCCAATTCCTATGGTATGATCTGTCTTGCACTATCAGATTTGACTTAAGTGAAAAACATTTGTCACAATGAGTACATTTGTATGGTTTCTCACCACAGTGAACTTTGAGATGTCTTCACAAAGATTCTGACTCACTAGATCTTTTGTCACAATGAGTAGATTTGTACGGTTTCTCACCACTGTGAACTTTGTGGTATCTTTGCAAAGATCCTGACCCACACTGAACTTTGAGGTTTCTTCACAAAGATCTTGACTTACTGAATTGTTTGTCACAGTGAGTATATTTGTAAGGTTTCTCACCACTGTGAACTTTGAGAAGTCAAAGCTGCACACATATTTGGTTCCAAGAAGTGAATAGTTTTCTGACAGCAAAGAAAAGAGAGATTCCTGCTCTGTTTAAGGGGTGGTAGTCAACTGAAGTGGACAATAAAAATTACAAAACACAGTACTACATATGCTTCTCTGTTCATTGCTCTTTTATTACTTGGTAAGAAATAAATATAATCCATACTTTTTTCACAATTTTAGATTTAATATTATTTCACTATTCTTTACTCAGAGGCCATTTTCTGGAAAATTTTGCGATATTCCTCAAGGTCATTGCGATTTCTCAGTAGGAGTTGTCGGTAAGCTGGAAGATTAGTGAATTTTACAAAAGGCTCCAAGGAACTGCTGGTAGCTGGTTTGAAATAGTGCAGTAAATCATGTTGAACACTCTAAAGTAATTGAACAAAAAAACAAAAAAAAAATCGAATTAACCTAAATGATGGGAGAGGAAGGGTCAATTTCAAAAGCTCCTGACAGTGCTCAAAACGTCAGCTTTAAAAACTCTTGATGATGGCCACTTTACACTAGTATCTTGTTATACTCCCCCACTGATGCAGTACCACAGTAATTAAAACTTAAACCATTTCAATAAAAAAGAAAGAAAGCTAAGCAAGCAGATGGACAGATAATCAGACACAGACAGGGCAGAGACAGATAAGCTGAGCCAAACAAACAGACACTCAAACAAGCCAAAAAGACAAACATTCAGGGAGATAGTCAGGAAAAGCAAAGACAGACATACAAACAGACAAACAGGTAGACGAATGAATATAAGGTAAGTTTCTAATTACAAGAAACTGTGGTGTTGCATTAGTGGGAGAGTAAAACAAGGTAATTTGGTATTATCAACTGACTTAATAACATAAACTGGCCTCCATAAAGAGTTTCAAAGCTGGCAATTCAAGCGTTAGCCCTGACAGACAGACAGACAGACAGACAATCAGTAAGAAATACAGTAAGACAGGAAGATAGAAAGATAGACTGACAAAAAGCAGGGAGATGGACAGACAACATACAGACAGAGAGACTGTCGGAGACAGACAAGCAGAGCCAGACAACAAGACACTCAAACAAGCCAAAAGACATACAGTCAGGCAGACAAAAAGCCAGAAGGTCAGGTAAGGAGGCAGACATACAGATACCCATAGGTGGGAAGAAAGACAGACAAAGTAGATACACTAACAGAAAGATTATCTGATTGATAGCAGGGTAAGAGGAAAATTTTCTTATCCTTTCCCTTTCAGACATGCACTGCATTAATCTTGGCTAACTCGAATTTTGAGCCTGGGAATGAGTTACTTCTTAACAGGCCTGGTTACTAGGGCCAGGTTCCCAAGCCAAACGGAGCTCTTTAAAAAAAACTAAAATGGTTGTGGAATAGCGAACTGAAGAGGAATATTTTACCTTATTTCGCTAAGTATAAGGGGTTTTTTTAACGACTACAAGATATACTTTAACTCTGTTGTAATTTGAAGTCAATTTGCAATTGTTTCTTTACTTCTCCGTACTAAAAATGAGCTTTTCCCACGGACAAGTTATATGAAAGGTTAACATGTCCGAAATAAATTTCTACCTGTCCCGGACAATCGGCGCACCCTGGATAGGCAAACAGAACAATCAAACTGGGCGACCAAGCTCCTCACTGGGAGACTGAATGAAGGACAGACGGAATTGCTGATCACAAGATTACAGAAGAAATGAGCCAAAATTGAACTAAATAAAACAGTTACCTCATTCTGCACTGCGAGAACTTGCTTCAAGAAATTTACCTTCTTTTTCAATTCATGTGAATCCTAGGATAAAATAAAAGGTTATTAAAAAAACCTTTGCATGACAAGAGGAACATTACTGACTTTAAATAATATTACTTTGTCAATTCTTACTAGACGTTTCGGTGTCTGGTATAGCTGAGTATCTGAACAAGTTATGCTAGTAATAGTTTAGACGACAGTGCATACTGACCTCAGGGTTGACTCTTTGAAAAACAAAAGAATTAACGTGATGAACAGCTGCAAGGTAAAACAAAGGGGACCACCGCGGCCTGAAATAAAGTAAAAGTAATTAGCACGACATAAAAAAGTGAAGCTCGTTTCGCCAGCAACGGAAAGATTTGAGACCAGTCGGGGAGAGATTTGGCGGACTCTACAGACCTCTTACTAACTCGCATTGCCCTAAATCTCATGTTTCTCGGCAGGCGAAAAAATGCTGGTGCCGGAGCGTCAATAATGATGCTTATTAAAGGGCGGCGTCTATTTCAAAATAATAATATTTCTTTAATCTCTCACAGTAATACAGGGGAATCATTTATGGACTGATCACATCTAGCAGAGTAAAGCAAAGACGAAAGAAATCCCAGATAACTTTCAACACTAAATTTAACACTTGCTCAGTCTGTTTGTATTTATAAACAAAGGCGAAGTGTATTTGTCACGCGTACCTGACTGTTTGGGTGGCAAGAGCTCGTAAATAAAGCGCCAGTAATGACTGGTTCTGCTCAACAGGATACAGGAATTCCTCTAGGGGGATGGGTAGCTGAAGGAAACAGAGGGAAAAAAATTGTACTAGCCATCAAATTGTAGTTTTAAAGCCACGGTATTCTTATACAAAACAGTTACTTTATATCCAATCCCAAGATTTGGTAGAGAGCCGGATTTCCTTTCAAAAAGATATAAAGCAAACTATTCAAAATAGAGCTATCTCTTCGTCACAACAGGTTAATTATGAAGTCAAAATAACTCCAAAAACGGCAATGGGATAGATAAAAAAAGGAAAATAAAAAGCTGTAAAATAGAACTTTTTGTAAATTTTATCGTATTGGGTAAGGATCTCGTGGATGAACGATGAAAGTTTTATACATTAGTGGTAGAGGAATATGGGACAGAAGAACTCATTAGGGAAGGAAAAACTTGGCTATCTCAAAGCACGAAAAGGATGAAACTTCTGTAGATTTACAGCGACCATTTGATCTAGTTTACCTGGTCTAGGGGTATTGACAAAGCTCTCAAGACTCCTATGTGTTCATCCCAAACAGCTGTTCTAAATTTCATGTTGTGCTTCTGAGCCAAGGGTAAAATAACAAAACAACCAAAGAGAGCATCTCCAAAGGAGACTGCAGAGTACTGGGACAGGAGTGATGCGTACCTACAAGAAGCAAAGTCAAGGACCTTAGTTCACTTTCTTATGTTAACAAAATTTGAT